TTAATTTTTTGCTGAATTGTAATTGTTTTAAATTTCGTTGTACAAGGGTCAGCATGTGTTCAGTTTTCATACATTCATAAAGACCTTGCCTTTCAGTGCCTTGGAAATGTCTCTTCTGTCATGACTGTTTTCACTCAATTCAAAATTCAGCAATGAATCATTAAATATAGAGCATGTATGTCTTTCACAATTGCAGGAAGAAAACTATATAATCGGCCACAAATAATTAAAATCTTTGAAACAAATGTTTTTATATCATTTTTACTTTCTTAGACGTTCGTGTGATTTTTTTTTTTTTGTTTGTTTTTTTTCACGTTTTCATTTGACCTACAAAAAACATCCAGATTGTATAAAGTATTGAGTCCTCATAATCCATGTGTGTCAAGAGCATTTAAAGTGAGTGACAGCTGTGAATGATGTTTCAGGTGTTGACGGAGGCTGCGGCAGAAATCAGTGGCAGTGTGATGATGGCGTGTGTGTGTCGCACAGATGGCGCTGTGACGGTGTCAGTGACTGCCAGGATGGATCTGATGAGATGGACTGCAGTATGTAGCCTTTATGCTCGCTTGTCGAATTAATTAGATTGCATCTGGCTGATTCTATGGAAGGAGGACACAAATAAACAAGCGTCTTTTTATGCCGTTAGTATGTCAGCCTGGAGATGTGGAGTGTGCGGATGGCTCCGGGTGTGTGATTGGGTCGGGTGTTTGTGATGGCCGGCCCCAGTGTCCCGATGCTTCAGATGAGTGGGACTGCAGCTGGCGTTTAGGGTGTCTGTCAGGTGACCGGAAGTGCAAGAACAACATTTGCATCCCACAAAATCTTCTCTGCAATGACGTCAACGACTGCGGGGACAACTCTGATGAAGAAACCTGTGGTGAGATGCTCTAGACGTGCTAAACCCTCATTAAACAATGTATGAATGTCAGTGCATTATCAACCTGTGGCTTTAACTGACTTTTAGTGGGACCATTTGGTTAAAATAAATGCAAGAAGAGACAACCTCTAATTATTCATGCCCTAACATGAGTGATACTGGGCCAGCCTATTCATAAATGCGAAATAGGAAGGATTCAGATAAATGTATTTAAATGTATTAAAGGGATAGTTCACCCAAAAATGAAAGCTACCCCATGATTTACTCGCCCTCAAGCCAATTTAGGTGTACATGACTTTCTTCTTTCAGACGAATACAATCGGAGTTGTATTAAAAAATGTCCTGGCTCTTCCATGCTTTATAATGGCAGTTGTTAAAAAAAAAAATTTTAAATGCTATTTTTCTTACACAAATGCATCGATTCCCCCGGAGTAGCATGGAGCACTTTTTTCTGATGGATGGATGCACTTTATTGGGCTTCAAAATCTCAACCACCAGCCATTATAAAGCTTGGAAGAGCCAGGATATTTTTTAATACAACTCCGATTGGATTCGTCTGAAAGAAGAAAGTCATGTACACCTAAGATGGCTTGAAGGTGAGTAAATCATGGGGTAATATTAATTTTTGGGTGAACTATCCCTTTAAAGTTTTGTATTGTTACATGATTATGCATGTAAATGCTTTTATTGTCCTGGTTCCATGTATAGCAAGCTCTGTGAACTCTTGGAAGTCTCCTAGTTGACACTAAAAGACATGTAAATTGTATATATGAAATTTATTTTGTATTTATGGAAAAAAAAAAAAATTGGAGGTGGAAACCATGTGACCGGTCACCCTCACATATTCTCAAAAATACTTTAAGCATCCATTGCAGAAGCCGATTTACACAAAACATTCATCGATTCGACACCCTGTACATTTACACAGTATTTCTGATGATGTTTAGAATATCATATTGACCTTTTTATTCATGGTCTCTGAGAGTCATGTTAAATATTTGCCTGACTGTGTTTTATTAGGTTCCTGTGGGAAGATGAACATCCGCTGTGCTGACGGCACGTGTCTAACCCCGAGACAGAGGTGTGATGGAGTTGCTCAATGCTCCGATAAGAGAGATGAGCCTCTTACATGTGGTACATAAAGACCCTCAGTATTAATTTTTAATGTTGAACATTTATTTATTTAGTGTTTTTATGAGTTATTTTAGTTTTTTTCCCCCCTTTGGAAAATGGTATGTTTCACCTTTCCATGTCACCTAGGTAAAAGTTGTCTTAATGGGAATGGCGGCTGTAGCCATACTTGCATTGACCAGCTTTGGGGAGCTTTGTGCACTTGTCCCACTGGAATGACTGTTTCTGCAAATGGACTTGATTGTGAAGGTATGTGTGCACTTTTGCCTCTAAGCCGGCTATATTTGGAATAGCAAGCTACCACACTAGTCATATCATTTCTGCAATATGCTGCATGTATACTGTTCTCTGGATGTGCAACAGTACTGGATAATTCTGCCTGGAATATTGTGTCCCACAACTAAATGTTCTGAACACCTCTTCCTTGACTTACTTGATTGGGCCAAAGGTCAAGACAGTTTACACATAACTTGATCAACAAATGAAACCTAACCAAACTTTTTTTTTTCTAAGTTAGACAAAAGCTGCACTGTCAACATGATGCAAATTACTGTACGTGTTTTCCAGAAAATATTTAAATAATTCGCTTTGGATAATAAAATATAATTCACGCATAATTCACCTATGCACAACAACATCTGACAATATATAAAAGCCAGTTTTACTTTGAAAAATGATCATATCATACTTAATTTATTCTCTCACTTTATAAATCTCTTTATACTGTACATGGAAATATATAGTTGCCTTTATATTTCAGAAATTGTGTCCCTTGTAAGAGGATCATAATGTTTGGGGGTCTTTGACATAAAAAGATTGAAAACCGCTATGCTGTACTATATTGTTTTGAATGTTCATCATTGCATTTGGCATACTGTTGCATAATAAGAATAATTTAAGTGATACAGTATGGTCTATACACTATTAATTCCAAACATACCCTTAGTATCGACAAACGTTCATCTTCCACTTGATACCAGTAGTAATCCATTTTAACAAGTAATTGGCTGTACACAAATACAGTGCAATGTTGTTTTCAGTTTGAGTTGATATTATTTCAGATGTCAATGAGTGTGCCCAGTCTTTTGGATCTTGTATGCACTTGTGCACAAATACACCCGGGTCTTTTCGCTGTCTGTGCCAGAATGGTTTCAAAGCTCTTGGCAATGGCTCTTGTGAAGCTCAAGGTAACTTATGACATTTTTTTTAGATTTTACAATTAATGACAAGTAGGGTTGCAAAGGGGTGGAAAATTTCCGGTAAATTTCCAGGAAACTTTCCAAAAATCCCTGGAATGTTCCAAAAAAATCCTGGAAAGTTTCCAAAATACCTTTTTGCAACCCTAATAACAAGTATACACTGGAAGCACTAACATCAAACGTTTTTGCAAGGAGCCGTGACGAAGATTTTGATGACCAGGAAGGGGCTGATTGGGTTAGTGAATATGAAGACCAGAATCTATGAGCCGCTCTTTACAAGTGAGAGTGACCCTATAGCCATGACCTACGATATCCAAAGAAACTTAATCTACTGGGCTGATAAAGATGGGAATATCTACAAGGCTTTTAAACGGAGGAGCACAATTCTTTATTCAGGCTAGTTGAGCACTAAATCCATGCAAAACCGCCTAAAATATGTTGGCCTCCACTGAAACCATATGTGTGTTTATTCTTCACTTATTAGGGCAGTCTGGTTTGCACAGTCTAGCCATCGACTGGCTTACTGGACAACTGTACTGGACGAGTGTTACCCAGAAAGCCATTTACACCGGTGCAGCTGACGGCAGTGCTGTAGGCATGGTCATGTCCAAAGAAATGGACCCGAGTGATATGGTCCTCAGCCCAACTGAGAGGTACAAACTGCTTTTTACCGTATTAGTACAGGTTTGAGAAGCACCGTTATATCTGGCTTTTTTCCTTTTGTAGTTTCATATTTTGGATTAATAAAGGAATGACTGAAGAGCTAACCATTGAGAGGGCGGAAATGGACGGTTTGAATCGGACAACACTGATTTTCATTACTGCACAGCTCCCGAGAAGTCTTACATTGGATGTGGCAGCGCGCCGGCTGTATTGGATCAGTGTTTACAAAGCGGTGCGATACGTTTGGGGGAAAAAAAAACACATTTTGTTCTCAGATTTATTGATTGTGTGTTCATGTTGAGTTCTTTAAATTGAAATTCCAGTCAATTGAGAGCATCAGGACGGACGGCACTGGACGGCACACCTTCTGGGATTTCCTTCAAGGACGTCCTGCTCAGACCCTGGCCGTGTTTAACGGCTGGTTTTACTGGGCCGATGAGAAAAAACTCTGGCAGGCTTCTCAAAATGTGCCTGCTGACTCACAAAATGGTTTCATATTAAAAGCCTCGCTTCCTCTCTTGAACATCTACCATGTGCTTCAGCAACCCCAAGGTGAATGAATTTTTGTGAACACACCTTATTTCTGAATTCTTAATGGTGGTTACACCACATCATTGGCTCCAAGCTTTGTGTTTTTGGATGTAGGTTTTGCTCCATGTAAGAACTCAGGCTGCCAGCTGTGTTTGCCCTCCAAGAAAAGTGCTGCGGGATTCACCTGTCTGTGTCCTGAGGGAGCGCTGCCCATGTCTTGGGGATCTTGTGAAAGTGTGTTGTTTAACATCTAATATTTAGCATTTTAGTTAAAGACGAGCTGCCTCTTGATGATATTTTCATCTCTTCTCATTGTCAGATTTTAAGGTCGCCTATGCAACAGCCACGGCCATATACAGCTTGGAGTTTGCAGGAAAGACTCCTGTGAAAACTGAACTCTTTACTTCAAATGAAGACATTCAGTCCTTTGACATGTACTGGCGGAGAGGATGTGTGGTTTGGTCTAATGGGACGGGCCACGTAAAGACTAACATACAGTCTCAGGACTTGTCCGAGTACATCCTGACTTTAAAACCTGGTATGTTGTTACTGTTTCCACTAGAGCCTTGAAACATACTCTACACAAGTACATGAGCACTGATGCCTCTTGCTATTCATGCTTGATTTTGTGAAGTCAAAATGTCACTGTCCACACTAAAAAAAAAAATAGAAAAAAACAGAAATTGCTAGTAAATTTCACAATTAATTACTTCGAATCGGCTAGTAACACATTGAATTAAACATGAAATTTTCAAGTAGAAAGGCTGAAATATTTTCTCGTAAAACATACTCTTGAATGCATTCTTAAATTATAATCTTTGTTTTATTTAAGCTTTGAAAAATAGTTATTTTAAAGTGCATTTATATTTAATAACGGGAAAAGGCCTCATTAAAAGAAAGAAATTCTTGAAAAGAAAGTAGTTTGGCATTATTTTTGTTAGTATGTAAGAAAAAACAGATTTGACAAATGAGCACTATTCTTAAGCACTGTTTTAATATGAACTTTTTTGACATTGCAAGGTTAGTACCAGATTTTAAAATGTCATGTGGTGCAACATTCCTAAAAACACAATTGTATTTATCAGTTAATAATTCATGATATTTGTCAATTATTATTTTTTTTACCTTAAAATATATATATTGAACTTTGATAACTGATATGTATACTCGTATGTGTAGGTGTAAGGAAAATTTATTACTTTTTGCTTGACGGTTACACTACATGACAATTTTTCTAGGGAATTGGCACTCTTTTTTCCCCCTCCTTTTTATGTTTTTTTTTTTTGGGGTGGGGGGGGGTCATGGTCAAAATATGTACTGTAAGCGCATGGGCTCGCAAGGGATCGGCCAACATTTGGTGAAATCAGTTTCTGGATTGGTGTTTGATTTGAGTTTACATGTTGATTCGGTGCATTGTGGATGGTTTTGTTTTTAATACTTAATGTACTTGGCCATTATAGTAGACCGAGACTCTTACGAAACATCTCCGCTATATTTATTCCAGCTCAAAGTAACTAATTCCGACTTGCCTTGTGTCCCTTACTCAAGCCTGCATCGTCAGAGTTGACCAGAGGACTGGGAATCTGTATTGGCTGGCCTGTGATGAACTTTCCATTGGCGTTTCTACCATTGGCCCCCTTGACCAGAGTATCTCCAGACCGCTATATCAAGCCAGAACTGCAATCCTAGACCTCTTTGTGGACTGGCAGAGAGGAAAGCTGTACTGGCTAGAGGGAGGTCAGATCATCAGAATGAAACTGGGTCTGATTGGTGGAAATGCAGAGGCTATCTTCAGCTTTGAGGAGGATGGAGTCAAAACCATTGTGTTTGACCGTAAAGTGAATGGCTTCCTTTGGAACATGGAGTCTTGTGAGTGTCTTTTCTTTGTCACTGAACCGTTAGTGTGCACGCTACAGGTTTGCATTTACTTCAGCTGAATGTGATGTCGTTTGCTTCAGACTTGCAGGTTATGAGTCTACTGAAGATGAGAAGGTACTCCGCTGGTAAAGACTGGGTCGTTCCTGGCTCTATCATGGCTGCTTATGAACCCTACATGGTGACCTTGTTCAATAACATCCTGACAGTGTGGAATCGCAAAGATGGAGCTCGCGTCTCAGGGGTGGCGGTAGAGAATGGAGTTGTTAGCTTATCTGTTGCCCTCAGGGAAGTCCAACAAGGTTTGTAATGTTCTTCTGGGTTTGATTTTGTGTCTTTATGCCACAGTTATTTATTTTTTGTTTTGTATGCACTTTAGATACAACAACCGAAGATGTGCGTCCTACTGAGGTGACTTGCAAAAGTCCCCAAGTCTCTTGTCGAGGATCAGCCGTGTGTATCAGCCGATCTCAGCGCTGTGATGGGAAGAGAGACTGTCCGGATGGATCTGATGAAGCCTCATGTTTGCACATGTGTGCAAAGCCAGGTATGCTTTATGCCAGGCATTTTTCACCCAAAATTCCTTTACTAAAAGTCCTTTACTGACCCTCATGTTGTTTGAATCCTGTATGACTTTTAAGTTTTCTAAATGCTTGAGACCTGTTATACAGTGTTAAAAAAACACTGAAAAATGACAGACAAACAAAGTTATGATGCTAATTTGTTTAATCATATTTATGTTCCACCTGGAGTATTTTAATGTTTTAAAAATTCAGCTTACAATATTTTTACCTTAATGTGATTTTTCCGTTTCTTTTGCTTTTTAGTTTTATTTCTGACTTGATGTGCATAGGTCATTAGACTCTGGAAAATCTTGGTTGAAAGACAACACTGTTTCCTTAGATGACTTCCTGTGTAAAGATGGAAGTAAGTGTGTGGAGAGGGATCTGGTGTGTGACGGCCGCTCTCACTGTGCTGACGGGTCAGATGAGATGGGATGTCCCACCATGGCTCCTGAAACCATCTCACTTCCACTGAAGTGTCGTTTGGGCTCTAAACTCTGTAAGGACGGGCGTGAGTGTGTGCTGTACAGTCAGGTGTGTGATGGAGAGATGGACTGTAAAGATGGATCGGATGAACAGGACTGTGAATATCAGTGTAAAGCAGGTAAAACTCATGTATCTGATCCCTAACGGTCTTATGTAACGCAAGACGTGTGTAACTAATAATGTTTCCTCGTAGATCAGTTCCAGTGCGCTCATGGGAGGATGTGTATCGACAGAAAGCAGGTGTGTGACGGCACACCTCAGTGTCAGGACCGCTCTGATGAACTGGACTGTTTCAGTCGCTCACACGCATGCAAACATCAGTGTGATAATAAAACTCGCTGCATCCCAGAGAGCTTCCTCTGTGATGGAGAAAAAGACTGTGTGGATGCCACTGATGAAGCCAACTGCTGTAAGTTTTGAAAAGATGCAGGTTTTATCATGTTAAGTCCATTTTTATTTTTTTCTCCCAGTCGGTGAACTAATCACTAACATCACCAAACGGAATCGCAAACAAGTTTCCCAAAGCTGGGTTTACAAATAGGTTTCCCAAAAATTCCACTTTTCATTGGTTAGACCAACAACTCCAACCCAAACTCACACCACTGGTTGAGTCCGTTTTTCTTCAATCTGTTCACTCATGTGGACAATTAATCTGCAAATGCTTTACTTCACTGTTCCTTATAAAGCTGGGATGGGTGAAAGTGTTCTAACATCAGAAAATGACTTAATTTACTCCTTTGAGCTCCACTAATAATGTTTCTTCTGTGTTGTCAAAAGAATTGTAACTCCTTTTTTGCTACTACACCTTTAGGACCTTTGTGATCTCTGTTATGATTGGCCAACCAATTACATAACCTTTGCATGTGAAATGAGTAACAGTCTTATTTGTTGTTTGTGTTTAACCTTTATTAAAACATGCCTGATCTCCTTATGTTCACAGCTGAGATTAAAAGAGGGGATATAAATTTGGTGACACTGAACAATGGCAAGTCAGGTTTGCAGCCTCCGCCTCCAGTCTGTAGAAGTCCATCCATGATGTGTCCAGGAACATCATTGTGCATTTCCCAGATTCAGCTGTGCGATGGGAAGATAGACTGTCCGGATGGTTCTGATGAAGTTTCGTGCATAGACACTTGTTCAAAACCTGGTAAATTTTCACTTGATCTTCAATGTAAATAAAGTTTTTCCAAAGAAAATGCTAAGCATGGACATCTGTAATGCTGTGCCAGGTGACTTCCTGTGTAAGGACAGAAGGAAGTGTGTTGATGGGAATCTGGTGTGTG